GATAGTGAAGGCATAGATAAATTTCTTAAGTCATATGATCTGCCCAGATTGAGTCAGGAGGATATAGAAAACCTAAACAGACCAATATCAATTGAGGAAATAGAAGAAACCATAAAAAGACTACCAACTAAGAAAAGCCCAGGTCCGGATGGGTATACAGCAGAATTTTACAAAACCTTTAAAGAAGAACTAATACCAATACTTTTCAAGCTACTTCAGGAAATAGAAAAGGAGGGAGAACTTCCAAATTCATTCTATGAGGCCAACATCACCCTGATACCTAAACCAGACAAAGACACTTCAAAGAAAGAAAACTACAGACCAATATCGCTAATGAACCTAGATGCAAAAATCCTCAATAAAATTCTGGCGAATCGGATACAAAAACATATCAAAAAAATTGTACACCATGACCAAGTAGGATTCATCCCTGGGATGCAAGGCTGGTTCAATATACGGAAATCAATAAATGTTATTCACCACATCAATAGACTTAAAAATAAGAACCATATGATCATCTCGATAGATGCGGAAAAAGCATTCGACAAAGTACAGCATCCCTTTATGTTCAAAACTCTAGAAAAACTAGGGATAACAGGAACATACCTCAATATTGTAAAAGCAATCTATGCTAAGCCTCAGGCTAGCATCATTCTGAATGGAGAAAAACTGAAGGCATTCCCTCTAAAATCTGGAACAAGACAGGGATGCCCTCTCTCTCCACTTCTCTTCAACATAGTTCTCGAAACACTGGCCAGAGCAATTAGACAGACGAAAGAAATTAAAGGCATAAAAATAGGAGAAGAAGAAATTAAATTATCACTATTTGCAGATGATATGATTCTATATCTAGCAGACCCAAAAGGCTCTACAAAGAAACTATTAGAGCTAATAAATGAATTCAGCAAAGTGGCAGGATTTAAAATCAACACGCATAAATCAAAGGCATTCCTGTATATCAGTGACAAATCCTCTGAAATGGAAATGAGGACAACCACTCCATTCAAAATATCTTCAAAAAAAATAAAATACTTGGGAATCAACCTAACAAAAGAGGTGAAAGACTTATACAATGAAAACTACAGAACCCTAAAGAGAGAAATAGAAGAAGATCTTAGAAGATGGAAAAATATACCCTGTTCATGGATAGGCAGAACTAACATCATCAAAATGGCGATATTACCAAAAGTTCTCTATAGGTTTAATGCAATGCCAATCAAAATCCCAATGGCATTTCTTGTAGAAATAGAGAAAACAATCATGAAATTCATATGGAAAAATAAAAGACCCAGAATAGCAAAAACAATGCTAAGCAAGAAGTGTGAATCAGGCGGTATAGCAATACCAGACTTCAAACTATACTACAGAGCAATAGTAACAAAAACAGCATGGTACTGGTACCAAAACAGGCGGGTGGACCAATGGTACAGAATAGAGGACACAGAAACCAATCCACAAAACTACAACTATCTTATATTTGATAAAGGGGCTAAAACCATGCAATGGAGGAAGGATAGCATCTTCAACAAATGGTGCTGGGAAAACTGGAAATCCATATGCAACAAAATGAAACTGAATCCCTTTCTCTCGCCATGCACAAAAGTGAATTCAAAATGGATCAAGGAGCTTGATATCAAATCAGAGACGCGCCGTCTGATAGAAGAAAAGGTTGGCTACGATCTACATTCGGTGGGGTCGGGCTCCAAATTCCTCAATAGGACACAAATAGCACAAAAGTTAATAACTAGAATCAACAAATGGGACTTACTCAAACTAAAAAGTTTTTTCTCAGCAAAAGAAACAATAAGAGAGGTAAATAGGGAGCCTACATCCTGGGAACAAATCTTTACTCCTCACACTTCAGATAGAGCCCTAATATCCAGAGTATACAAAGAACTCAAAAAATTAGACAATAAGAGAACAAACAACCCAATCAACAAATGGGCCAAGGACCTGAACAGACACTTCTCAGAGGAGGACATACAGTCAATCAACAAGTACATGAAAAAATGCTCAACATCTCTAGCTGTCAGAGAAATGCAAATCAAAACCACCCTAAGATACCATCTCACTCCAGTAAGATTGGCAGCCATTAGGAAGTCAAACAACAACAAGTGCTGGCGAGGATGTGGGGAAAAGGGTACACTTGTACATTGCTGGTGGGACTGCAGATTGGTGCAGCCAATTTGGAAAGCAGTATGGAGATTTCTTGGAAAGCTGGGAATGGAGCCACCATTTGACCCAGCTATTCCCCTTCTTGGTCTATTCCCTAAAGACCTAAAAAGAGCATGCTACAGGGACACTGCTACATCGATGTTCATAGCAGCACAGTTCACAATAGCAAGACTGTGGAACCAACCTAGATGCCCTTCAATAGACGAATGGATAAAAAAAATGTGGCATTTATACACAATGGAGTATTACTCTGCATTAAAAAATGACAAAATCATAGAATTTACAGGGAAATGGATGGCATTAGAGCAGATTATGCTAAGTGAAGCTAGCCAATCCCTAAAAAACAAATGCCAAATGTCTTCTTTGATATAAGGAAAGTAACTAAGAACAGAGTAGGGACGAAGAGCAGGAGAAGAAGATTAACATTTAACAGGGATGAGAGGTGGGAGGGAAAGGGAGAGAGAAGGGAAATTGCACGGTAATGGAAGGAGACCCTCAGGGTTATACAGTGGAGGGGGTAGAGAGAGAGGAGGGGAGGGGAGGGGAGAGGTGGGGAGGGGGGAGGGTGGATGATGGGAAAGGCAGCGGAGCACAACAGACACTAGTATGGCAATTTGTAAATCAATGGATGTGTAACTGATGTGAATCTGCAATCTGTGTATGGGGTGAAGGTGGGAGTTCATAACCCACTTGAATCAAAGTGTGGAATATGATATGTCAAGAAATTTGTAATGTTTTGAACAACCCACAATAAAAAATTATAAAAAAAAAAAATAAGTATAGTAGATGAAACCATATTTAATATTTATGTGTATATGGGAATATTACAGATAAGTATAGCCTTTGATGATTGTTTGTGGTATATACAGAAAAGGGTTGGGACTATATATAACAAACAATTGGTGATTGTATCTGAACAACTGATGGTGAAGGAATACATTATTAACTTTATATGATTTCAAGTTTTTTTTTTTTTTTAACCAATGATCATGTATACATTTTATATCTTAAAAAAAAAAAAAAAAAAAAACCAAATTAAAAAAAACCCAGGGATCCTGTAATCCCAGAGGCTCAGGAGGCTGACATAAGAGGATTGCAAGTTCAAAGCTAGCCTCAGCAACTTAGCGAGACCTTGTCTCAAAATAAAAAATAAAAAGGGCCAGGGATGTGGCTCAGTGGTTAAGTGCCCCTGGGTTCAATCCCTAGTAGCAAACAAACATCAAACACCCACGGAAAAACCACACAAATTAAAGCATAGCTATGTGCTTAAGGAATGTCTCTGTATCAAACTTTTATTTACTTACTATTCTAGTAAAGGATTTAGGAGTCTAAGCCTCAGATGTATCTAAACAAGGGAATGGTTTCTCATGATTTGTTTTGTCAGTTATGCTATTATAATCGTTGAAGATTGAGCAGAAACTTAACAAATGATATCAGTGATACAATGAAGGTTTTGTTGCAAAAGACATGAAAAGTGGTAATTCTTAGTCATTTACATTAGTTGATAATAACTCTTTTAAAGACTTAAATTATAATTGTAAAAATATGTTCAACGTTCAGTTTCCTAATCCAGGGACCAGCAAACTACTGTATACAGACCAAATCTGGGCCATCTCTTATTTGGAAAATAAAGCTTATTGAAACATGGAAAAAAAAAATAAATAAATAAATAAATAAATAGATCAATTTCAAGCAAGGAAATAGAAGACCATCAAAAGCCTACCAACCAAGAAAAGCCCAGAACCAGACGGTTTCTCAGCAGAGTTCTACAAGACCTACAAAGAAGAATTAATACTAATATTCCTCAAATTATTTCATGAAACAGAAAAGGAAAGTACCTTTCCAAATTCATTCTATGAGTCTAGCATCATACTGATACCAAAATCAGACAAAGACACATCAAGGGAAAAAAACATTAGACCATTATCCCCGATGAACATAGACACAAAAATTCTCAATAAAATCCTGACAAATCACATACAAAAACATATTAAAAAGATAGTGCACCATGATCAAGTGAGTTTCATTCCAGGGATGCAAGTTTGGTTCAACATACAGAAATCAATAAACATAATCCATCATATCAACAGACTTAAAGATAAGAATCATATGATTGGGCTGGGGATGTGGCTCAAGCGGTAGCGCGCTCACCCAGCATGCGTGCAGCCCAGGTTCGATCCTCAGCACCACATACAAACAAAGATGTTGTGTACGCCGAAAACTAAAAAATAAATATTAAAAAATTCTCTCTCTCTCATCTCTCTCTCTAAAAAAAAAAAAAAAAAAAGAATCATATGATTATATCAATTGATGCAGAGAAAGCCTTTGACAAAATACAACACACCTTTCATGTTCAAAACACTAGAAAAACTAGGGAGAGTAGGAACATACCTCAACATTATAAAAGCTTACTATGCTAAACCCAAGGCCAACATCATCCTAAACGGAGAAAAACTGGAAGCATTCCCTCTAAAAACTCGGAACAAGACAGGGATGCCCTCTTTCACGACTTCTATTCAACATAGTCCTTGAAACTCTAGCCAGAGCAATTAGACAGACGAAAGAAATTAAAGGGATACGAATCAGAAAAGAAGAACTCAAACCATCATTATTTGCTGACAACATGATTCTATACTTAGAGGATCCAAAAAATTCCACCAGAAAACTTCTAGAATTAATAAATGAATTCAGCAAAGTAGCAGGATATAAAATCAACACACATAAATCAAAGGCATTTCTATACATCAGTAATGAATCCTCTGAAAGAGAAATTAGAAAAACTATTCCATTCACAATAGCCTCAAAAAATAAAAAATAAGACTGAGGACCGGAGAACTGAACGCTGCGGCTGGAAGCTGGTGAGGCAGTGCGGCGATGTTCCGGATCGAGGGCCTTGCGCCGAAGCTGGATCCGGAGGAGATGAAGCGGAAGATGCGTGAGGACGTGATCTCCTCCATAAGGAACTTCCTTATCTACGTGGCCCTGTTGAGAGTCACTCCATTTATCTTAAAGAAATTGGACAGCATATGAAGATTGGACATCACAAGTACATGCATGATATGAAGAACCTGGTTACAGTTTCTCCTCCTATCTGCAAATGAATGGGCCCAGAATGGTGTAAGAGACTCTTTGATTGAATGGACATAAAAATTCTACTTGTTAAGAACAAGTTGGGCTATGAATACTGACCTTCATAGCTAAAATATACAACAATTTGGAAAGTATGAAAAGACATCTTGTAATTATAGTGTGACCTTATGCTTGTGATACTTGGCCTCTGAATGTTGGTATGAATGTAAATAGTGTCAAACTCCCTTTCATTAATTATAAGGGGATTATGTCTGAAATGGCATGTCTTGTCAGTCATTTCTGTTTACATTTTTACTTCTGTCCAGAGTATACTTGTGAAGAGGCCCTTACAATTATGTCTTATGAAGTCAGCACCCAACCACAATGACATTTAATCACAGGACTATTAGTCTATATTTTTAATAAACATAGCAATTAAGAAATAAATAAATAAATAAATAAATAAATAAAATACTTGGGAATCAATCTAACAAGAGAGATGAAAGACTTATGCAATGAAAACTACAGAGCACTAAAGAAAGGATTGAAGAAGACCTTAGAAGGTGGTAAAATCTCCCATGCTCTTGGACAGGCAGAATGAATACTATCAAAATAGCCATACTGCCTAAAGTGCTATACAGATTCAATGAGATTCCAGTTAAAATCCCATCATCATTCCTTATAGAAATAGAAAAAGCAATTATGAAATTCATTTGGAAAAATAAGAGACCCAGAATAGCCAAAGCAATACTTAGTAAGAAGAGTGAAACAGGAGGTCTCATAATACCAGATCTTAAACTATACTACAAAGCTATAGTAATAAAAACAGCATGGTATCAGCACCAGAGTAAACATGTAGACCAATGGTACAGAATAGATGACACAGAGACAAACCCACATAAACACAGTTATGTAAATAAACACAGGTGCCAAAAAACATACATTGGAAAAAAGATAACCTCTTCAACAAATGGTGCTAAGAAAACTGGAAATCCATATGCAGCAAAATGAAACTAAACCTCTATCTCTCACCATGCATAAAACTCAACCTAAAGTGGATCAAGGACCTAGGAATTAGACCAGAGACCCTGTGGCTTATAGAGGAAAAAAGTAGGCCCAAATCTTCATCATGTGGGATTAGGCCCCGACTTCCTTAACAAGGCTCCTAACGCACAAGAAATAAAATCAAGAATCAATAAAAGGGATGTATTCAGACAAAAGAACTTCTTTTGGCAAAAGAAACAATCAATGAGGCAAAGAGAGAGCCTACATCTTGGGAGCAAATTTTTACCACTCGCACATCAAATAGAGCACTAATCTCTAGGGTATATAAAGAACACACACACACACACACACACACCAAAAAAAAAGACCCAATTAATAAATGGGCCAAGGACCAGAACAGATACTTCTTCAATCAACAAATATATATGTATGTATGTATGTGTATATATATGTATGTATGTATGTGTGTGTGTGTGTGTATATATATATATATATATATATATATATATATATATAAATGTTCAACATCTCTAGCAATTAGAGAAATGCAAATCAAAACTACTCTAAGATTTTATCTCACTCTAGTCAGAATGGCAGCTATTAAGAATACAAACAACAATAAGTGTTGGAGAGGATGTGGGGGAAAAGGGTACACTCATACATTGCTCGTGGGACTGTAAAATGGTGCAGCCAATCTGGAAAGTAGTATGGAGATTCCTTGGAAAACTTGGAATGGAACCACCATTTGACCCAGCTACTGCACTCCTCTGTCTGTATATACCCAAAGGACTTAAAACAGCATACTACAGGGATACAGTCACATAAATGTTTATAGCAGCACAGTTCACAATCACTAAACTGTGGAACCAACCTAGGTGCCCTTTAATAGATGAATGGATTAAAAAATGTGGTATATATACACAGTGGAATATTACTCAGCAATAAAAGAGAATAAAATCATGGCATTTGCAGGTAAATGGATGGAGTTGGAGAATATGATGCTAAGTGAAGTTAGCCAATCCCAAAAAACCAAATGCCAAATGTTTTCTCTGATAAAAGGAGGCTGATTCATAGTGGAAATGAGGAGAAATTCATGTTAGGAGGGGGAGCATGGGAGGATTAGATTAACTCTAAATAGGAGAAAGGGGTGGGAGGGGAAAGAAGAGGGCATGGGGGTAAAAAATATGGTGGAATGAGATGGATATCATTACCCTAAATATTTGTATGAAGATATGAATGGTGTGAATATACTTTGTATACAAGCAGAAATATTAAAAATTGTGCTCTATATGTGTAATATGAATTATAATGCATTCTGCTGTCATACACAACAAATTAATTAATTAATTTTTTTAAAAAAAGAAACACATTGAGACCAAAAAACTTACCCTCAAAGCAATAAAAGGAAAAAGGGTTGGCCTAAAATTCTACACCCCGTTGCCACATTCTTCAAGAACCAAAGTGAAATACAGCCTTCTTGAAACACTGAAACAGAAAGAATTTTCCATCATGCACCTGCCACAAAGGATACTCTTCAGGCAGATGGGAAATGATCCAGGTGCAAGTCCGGAGCTAGGAAAAGGAGGTCAAACCAGCAAAGATGGTAGGTAAAGTGTGGAAAACCAATTAATGCTCAAGATGTACAAAAAATAATGATGTCACTTTGGGGTTTTAAGTAAATGCAGAAATTAAAATATATAAATACACTATGTCAGAATGGTAGAGTGAAGAATTCTAAGGTCCCTGCATTGTGTTAACATTGGGCTTTAACAATTCCAGAATGCTATTGTAATTTTTAGGGCATCTATTAACAGAATCATAAGACACCCTATTATATCCAAATTTTCAAAGTAAAAAAAAAAAACTGTAAATTTTAAAAAAAAAAAAAACCACTAACTTCCACCCCAAAGGGCAAGACAGTAGAGAAGAAGAAGTGTAGAACAGATAAGACAATGAACAGCATGTGGTCAGGTGTGGGCCAGCTCAGTGGCAAAGGGAAGACTCAGCATGTGCTAGCCCTGGCTTCAGTGCCAACACCAAGAAGATAAATAATAAATAAGCACATGGTCAGACGGTGGGTTTAAACTCAAATATATTAGTAATTATCCTATATGCCAGTGGATTAAACCAACAGACCAAATCTCCAAATCAAAACCCAATGTTACCAGTTTTTGGTTTAAAAAAAAAAAACAACTATATACTGATAAAAAAAGATACATCTCAACCATACAGGTGTGGGAACACAGAGAGGCTAAAAGAAGGACAGAAGAAATGCCGCTTACACACACCAAGGGAATTAAATAAATAAACAGCTCTGAACAGACTTTGGAGCAACAACCGTGAGAGGCAAAAAGGGATCATTTCACATGATGGTAGGTCCAGTTCACCAGGAGACGCGACATGCCAACCTAAGCACTGGAGACCCTAAGGCATGGACACGAGCCCCAAACAGGCACAGTGGACTAGTGATTACCCTACAAAGACCAAGGAGCCTTTGGGGGACGGAGGAGCGGCGCTGGGGCGTTGGCAAGCTCAATGGCATCTGAGCTGGGTTGTGTGCTTTTCAAGATGTCTCCTAGATGCATTTTTACCACAGTGACATCATCCCCAGGGTAAGGAAAAAAAGAAACAAATATTACAGGTTATCAGTGATAATCAAGAGAAAAAGCACTTGATGGATATAACAGGCAGTTTTAAACTGCTGAAACAGTACATATATTCTACTTTTTGCCTGAGTTGTTCGAAAAATATTAAATCCACAAGAATTCATGAGGCAGGAAGGAATAAGGCAGTTCCTGCTCAAGCCCAAACAGTGAGGCAGTTTCTGGGCAGCTCCTCATTGTAAAATGAGGTGACTGAGTCTTCAGGGTTCCAGTAATTTCAATTTTTTCATGAAAGCATTAATATTTTTATCCTAATTAACCTGCTAGTCTATGATACAATTGAGAGCTAACCATGCATTTTTTGGTCAATACCAAAATCCTTTTATAGCACCCCGAACATAAATCCTTGACTTTCACAGATTCTGTCTAATGTTTATGCCCAAATTAACTTCATTATGAGCGCCTAGAGAAATATTATTTAGTATCTTTCATTTAAGAAATAAAAGAAAGGTAGAAGTTCAATAACATTCCCTTAAAACTTAGGGTTTTAACACGTGTTTCTGCACACACACTCTGTATGCTCCTGTCGGGAAAGCAAGCGCATGGAAAGTCAGGAGGAAATCCACATTTTCCACTGCTTGAGTAGTTTCTTTCTTAGCAATTTACCCAGTCCCTAAGGAATCAAAACAGACCATGATTTCACCTTCTCCACACATGCAGACTAAAAACAACAGAAGTCCTTGGTCCCTAGGATGTATTTCTGGCCTTCAGAAGTTTCTATGCAGAAAGCAAAGTCCTGTGAGTAGAGAGATGCAGATGCCAGAGTGGAAACAGGGGACAGGGAAGGGTCCCCATGTGCTTGTTCATGTTCCTATTTCCTGCAGGGTCAAAGGGGTCCTGCAGGAGCAGGGGGCGCAAGGGGGAGACACAGTGGCGGGAACCCGCGGAGGCCTTGTTCCCTGAGGCTCCCGCTGAGGATCACCGTTTGCCCTCCTCCACTCACTTATAATGCCTCACACGTGAATTAGCTGCTGGTTAGTAGTATCTTCTAAACAGGGATCCCATGGTGCAAAAATACACCATTATCCACAGGGCCACCAAGATAACATGGTGGCCAAGCACGGTTCCAAGTACAGCAGGCGGCAGAGCAAAGGTTCTCAGGGCAAAAAGCTTCCCGATTGTGGGGATTTCTGGCCTTTAGGAGGATGTATTCCGACAGGCCACGCAGGATAAGTGGCACAGGAATGTGGGCTTCGGCAAACACGGGCGCTGGGGAGAGGAGGCAATCAAGTGTGGGGACACTGGAGCAGTGCTAAGAAGGCCGCCAGCCAGCAAGACAGCCGGGCGGGAGGCTGGGCAGGGCACCCAGTCACTAACCAACCAGCAGCCTGCAACTGTAGTGTCTCTACGTACTGTTTAAAAATGGATTTAAATTAAAGCAAACAAACCATTTCCCTACACCTAGAACTCAAGAAGTGTGAGTGGCTGGAAGAGGACAGCCCTAACGGGGGTTCTCTGTTACCCTCAGAAAGCCAGGTGGCTCGCTAGGAGCCAGGGTTTGAATGACCACCTGAGCCTGCAGCTGCCAGACTTCAGGGGGGACCCCCAGGCCAGGGGGCAGCCCTGCCACACGGACGGGGAATGGCGGGAGACAGCACCCCAACCCTCGT